TGCCATACTCCGCAGCAAGCTACAAACTGGTCAAAGAGACAAATGAAGTCAATACCTCGACCAACGTTCTGCCGTTAAACTATTCTATCTCACGTCCATGTGAATTACCTTTACTCGTCTCTTTGAGCAGTTGTAACGCTAAGCTAACAAAGACTTCTCTTACCGAAAATGCCAGCAGAACGTCTGGAAATATACCAAGTCAACTGTCTGATGCTGGAAATTGGCATTAATATTATGTCATAGGAAGCATAATTAGGTACGTTTAATAGGATTTTCATCCAAGTTGCGAAGACATGGTAAAACCAATACAATACATTTATAAGGAGACTACAACTAAAAAACCCAAGGCCACACCATCTTGGCATTATTATCTGATTATGTTTTCTATTTTGAGCTTTGGAAGTGTCTTAAAATCTCTCCTTGCACCTAGTTGAAGTAAGCTTTAAACATTTTTACTTTCGTGAAGGTACTTTTGAACTCTGAATCTCTTACTTAATTTTTTGGAGAAGCTTTTACCTGTACCTCTAGTCCAAATGACTCAGATCCCCCAGCAACAAGTCAGTAATGGGCATATTTATTCCGATCTTGATAAGAAAACTAAAATATACCAAGACTTAAAATCTTTCTTAAACTTATCCCCCTTGTTACATAAATATAATCATGAGAATTTCCTTCACTAGTGAAGGCCGGGATTCCGAAGTCAAGCCCAAAGAGGATGGCAACCCATTACATTTGCGAAACCTGAATGCATTCACGTGAAACTTTTAACAAGATACGTGTTATCCTGCTGCAGGATCTGAGTTCTTTGGACTAGAGCTAAACCTAACCAGAACTAAGGATCTGCATTATCCACCTTTTAGACGTGCAAATACATCGAATTTTCATATCTCTAATCTTTAATTGATAAAAGTTTGGCACTTTCGCTATGTAGACACTGCAATACTTGAAAGTGAAAAAGTATTCGAAAACACTCAAGACATTCCTGCTAAAGCCTTTACAAGTAAATGCAAGTTTTCCGTGCTTCAAAGAATATCCAGCAGGAGTTCTTACAAGAGTTCAATCCTAATTTTTTTTCATGCATGTTGGGCAGAAGTGAATATATATTTTCAGGAATCAGCATGTGTGCATTCGCAGCACCATAGAGGAAATGAAGGGATTTATGCAGGAAGGAAAGCAGAGGTGTTATGACAATGTAAGCATAGTGGCTCCATCCAGATACCCTCAAATTACGACAAAAAGAGGACGATTGGAAGGTAAACGGCAGTGACAGAAACTGTGCAAAGAAGGTTGCAAGGCCTTAAATGAATTCAATTAGACTGGAATACAATAGCATAGAAGAGCTATAATTCATCACTCTGTAAACGTAGGGCACAACTAATCACAATTCAGGAATAATGCAATCTTTTAGCCACATTACGTTAGGCAGTGATGCTAAGACGATTCTAGTGTGTTCCTCCCTAAAAAGCAGGCAAATACTGCTTCTTTTGAACATAGAAGCACACTCTTAAATTTGATGCACTGGCAAGTCTGCCGCCGGGCATTCCATTTACAGGCTGCTTACTTCAGTAAATAGTCTGTGAGACCGGTAAATAATGAGGCTGCTATCAGAAGTGATGCAATCCTTTGCTTTAGCGAAAAATATACTTTGTCAGGATAGGCAAATAGGTCGGCTCCAACCGAACTCAGATATTGAAATACATTACTATGAGCATAAAAGAGGAATTATATATGCAAATAATGGTCAGACGAGTTAGGAGTATATCATATAACATTATGTAGAGTAAACATATGATAGTTCAGGTTGCTGATACTTTCATATTGACTATCAACAGCTTGCACTCTTTTCGGTTCGAAGACTAACTAGTTCGATTAACCTCATTAAAACTTTACAAAACGCATATAGTCGAGCCAGGACAAATCAAATGACTTGGGATAAACTCCATTCAATATAAAATCGTGCAACTTTCTTGCCAGCAGTTTGGTACCTCACTTTCTAGTTCAATGCCCCTCATCACAGTCGAGCCATACGCCCTTGCCTACATGCTGGCAAGTACTTGATTTTTAGGCTATACATGATCCTGAAGTGGGTTGACCTAGTTTTCACAACTTGGTCTTGTTGTCAAGGTGATTTAGTTGAATGCACCTTGTCAAAATTCCTCTGCCATAATAGTTATCATTACTCCCAGCACCAGAATGTAGACTTGGTACATTCTCAGACGTTTCGCCGGCATCGTAGTCGACATCATCAATGAGTCTTGCCATTCTCCGGCCCAAGATACAAAATCGTCAACGAGACAAGTGAAGTCAATCCTTTTATCATTCCTCTTTCTGTCTTGGCCCGTACATCTATTCCTTACCCTCTTATCCCACTCCCGCCCTGTCAAAACTGACTTGCCTAAATTCCACTCATCAGAGGCTGTGCCCTTTTTGGCAAGTTTAGTGTTGCGCCTTCACAGCTGTTGTTCACCTTGCTCCCCTATCTTTCGATCGGATAAGAGGGTAGGGCGCGGATAGATGGTCCTGCACACGATCTGACGCTGGGACTTATGATAGCTACTATAGTAAAGTGCTTCGCACAAGGTGCGTCCAACTAAATCACCTTGACAACAAGACCAATTTGCGAAAAAAATGTTAACCCACTTCTATACATCGAAAGTAGACTGAGACTATACCGAGGGCCGAGCCATCTTTATAGCTCGATATACATGGTCCTATAGGCTTCATGTATTAAATTGAAAAAAATTATTAAGATATATAAAATTAAGCCAAGAGCATCTCATAATTTATGCTTGAGGAAAAGCAGAGATATAAGCTGGCATAAGACTGCCACAAACAAAGAGCCACAAAACTGGCCAGTGTATCTGGCTTCATGGAAGTGTTATATTATTCTGACTATGGGCATATAGAAGAGATACGTCATTTATGGATTATCCATATTCTCGTGCCAGAATTGGGAGAAACGTAAGAAAACCTATATTTTAGCTGTCCTTTAAGTAAGGGTCCTGAAAATTTTGGGGCCTATTTTTTAGAATATAAGCAGGTTTTTGATCATACCAGTGGATCATATATGAGATATATTCACCCTATTTCGCGAAGGTAATAAGGACTAGTAGTTGAGTTTTCCCACAACGATACGAATAGAATTTACTGTTCCAATGAACTGCGCACATTCTTGCTTCCTAAGAGGTATTATCATCCAGGCAGAAGTGAACCGCAGTTTTGACCTTGTCTGGGTCTCATCAGCACCCTCAGCGAGCAACGAGTAAACATTGCATTATCATTGTTTGAGCTCCGCTAGGAATGCTGATGAGACCTAGGCGAGGTCGAAACTGCAGTCCACTTCAGCTCAGATGGAAATGCCTTTCAGGAAGCAAAGCTATGTGAAATTCGATGGTAGCATAAGGTCTACTAATATCATTGTGGAAAAATTCAGCCATCATTCCTTCATCACCTGCATGAAATAGGGTAAATATATCTCAACACTAGGGCTTGTTTGATAAAAATGATACACTTACTATATAAGTAGGCTATAACTGAAATAAAATACTGAAGTAGTCTGAATGCAGTGGCTGAGACGTGGCAGAAATTCCAACGTGAACTTCTAGTCCAACAGTAGTCAAGCTATATCTAAAAATGCAAATTTTGCAAATGGCGAATAGAATTTTCTATTCAGAGAGGTGAAAGCTTCTCCAAAAATTAATTAAGAGATTCAGAATTCAAAAGTACCTTCACGAACGTACAAAAGTTTAAAGCTCACTTCAACTATGCGAAAAGAGAGATTTGAAGACACTTCCAAACCTCAAAATGGAAAAAAATAATCAGATAATAATGCCAAGATGGTGTGGCCTTGGGTTATTTTTGTTGAAGTCTTCTTATGAAGGTATTTTATTGGTTCTACTATGTCTTCGCAACTTGGATGAAGACCCTATTAAACGTGCTTAATTATGCTTCCTATGACATAATATTAATGCTAATTTCCAGCATCGGACATTTGATTTGGTATATTCCCAGACGTTCCGCTGGTATTGTCGGCGAGAGACGTCATCGTTAGCTTAGCGCTACAACTGTTCAAAAGGTAAAGTAAAGGCAATTCCCGTGGACGTGAGATAGAATAGTCTCAAACAAGTAGGCTTACTGATTATGGTACGTATGCTCTTAAAAGGAAGATAAGAAAGGCTATTTCAATTAATAGATTAGGAAATATGCCGAAGGTGAGGAACGGTGGGAGAAAGTTGATCGATAGACTGAATGCAAGCTGGTGTTGAGTTGCCATCAAAAAGAAGGCAAAAGTAATATGACCAACATGAAAAATAATTATTTAAACCATTCTATATCTAACTATGCCTATCAATTTTATTTTGATTAATTTAGTCTATATAAGAGGTAAGATAGAGCCGGATAGTCTTCTTGGCCCAGTGTTAACGGGATGAGCTCCAGCTCTGATGATGGCCATCATATTATAGATTGAATCTCAGCCGTTCTTTGACCGGAACAAGGGAGGATGTATCGTAGACCGCATCAACCTGAAAGTTGCATTAAAGTTAAACGGCTGCAGTACAACGGGAATCAGCCGTCGTATTTTGGTGAGATCAATCTTCAAATCTCTTCTTCCTGCACTTTCTACAAAAGCAAAATCTCCTTAACTATGTCATCTCAGGTGAGTCATCGAAACCCAGTTACTCTTCATATCTAGAATATAATTTACCAATATTATGGTGAAATGCCCTAGCAATTCCTCGGTACATCAGTTTAAATAATATTTTCATATCATGTAATACAAAATCAGTTGCGTAAGTTTGTATTTAATATCATAAGATAAACTAGATGGGAACATTTAGTATACATATTTTACACCTATGTTTACTTACTATTGCCCCAGGTAGGCCAGGAGGACCCGTAATTCCTTGATCGCCAATTTGACCCTGAAATAATGAAAAGGCAGTATTTTATAAATAGGTTAAATCTTTGAATTGTATAGAATGATGTTACTTAATCATTTGAATTTATCAGTTAAACTTTATATTAGCTTTATTTTGAGTCTATGGATTAAAAATGAACAATATAAGTCAGTTCATTCAAACAAATTGTCATTTTTCACTTTGAAGAAAATTTGAGGCTCAAAACAATGAAGAATAAAAGATTTTTAGGCATTGCCACTGACAACAACGGGAGGTAGCTACTTTATGGATAATGGAGTCAAAATTTTTATGCGGAATTTTCTGTCAAAAGATTTAGCACCACTGGTTTTTTATCCCAATAAAAAAAATTGAACTCAGAATTTTTCTTTTAATTTCTTTAAACCTACATTGGGCCCATGTGGTCCTTCTTCACCTTGCAGGCCAGGAAGACCTGGGGACCCTCGAGGTCCAATGAGTCCTAAGTCACCAGGCGGGCCTTGTGATCCAGGAGGTCCTTTGGAGCCACGATCGCCTCTGAGGCCTTGTCTGCCATGCTCTCCCACTCGTCCAGGAGGTCCAGGAATACCCTGAGGACCAGGAAGGCCAACCGAACCAGAAGGGCCACGTGGTCCATGAAAGCCAGGAAGTCCATCCTGTCCAGGCATTCCTGGGAGGCCTTTTGGTCCCCGGGGACCCTGAATGCCGATTTCTCCCTGCAGACCAAGTGGACCCTTGAAGAGAAGTTTCGAAAATGTTAAAGTTAATCCTTTTAATTCAGCTATTAATTATTTGTAAGAGCTCGTTTGAGGTGATTTAGGAAATGATAGTTGAGTCTTCCCAAAATTAGTTAAGTAGGCCATTGAATTTCAATTAGCCTTGTCTCCCAAAATGCTATCTCATTTAGAGTGGACTGCAGTTTCGACCCCGCCTAGGTCTCTTCTAAAGAAGAGCAATAAGAATCTAAGGCTTTTACATAATGGCTAGAAAAAGCACGCTCTTTCAGGTAAGAAATTAGCCAGTACGGTGAGTTGGAGTCCTTTATATAAGCATAAAAATTCTGCTTACTTTTCACCATTAATTATATGTTTGAACGCATCATTCACACTAACAATTCATATATATTAAAAAAACTGATTTAAAAATTGTACTTAATTAAGAAAAACTAATTTTAGCCTATTTTTTGGGGGGAAATTTTTTTTATTGGATTATGATTTATCCCTTAAAGAAGTGGGTTGACTTAGTTGCCTCAACTTGGTCCTGTTGTCAAGGT